AGTAATTCACTCTGAATACCTTTTGGCAAAACAAAGGAATTGAACCAGGAAAGCTCTAACACCCTATCACTTGAACATAGCCTTGTAGCCGTGTGTGTGTGTGTGTGTGTGTGTGTGTGTGTGTGTGTGTGTGTGTGTGTGTGTGACATACAAGGAGCTTTGGTGGCTCAGTGCTTAAAGTGCTCAGCTCCGCAGCCCCGCGGTTGAAACATGAGCCTGTGCTTCCAGATAGATGACAGTCTTGGGACCCACTTGGCTAGGCCGCTGCCTGCTGAATTGACACTGGGGGCCCACCTGACACCTTAAGCCAACCAGGACTCTCTCAATCAAGGGGTGGGGGGTGCTCCGGAAGGAGGTCAAGGCTAGGTCAGCACCCCTGCAGCTGTGACTGAGAGAGGTGCTTTGTTTTCCCCTGGTTTTTATGAGGATTCGGGTGGAAGTTTACCGGTCAGTCAGGGCTTGTGTGTTTGGTGTGTGTGTGTGTGTGTGTGTGTTTTCACTATAATACCAAAAAAAAAAAAAAAAATGGAAGCAGAGGCTCAAGAAGGATCTGTGTAGTTCATGCTCATAAATTGCTAAAACTGAAACCAAGCCAAACTCCCTGCCGTCAAGCCGGTTCTGATTCATAGTGACCCCGAGGACACTGGACCTGCCCCTGGGGGGGTTCTGAGACTGTACACTTTGAGAAGAGTAGAAAGCCCCTTTTTTCTCCCTCGGAGCGGCTGGTGGTTTTGAATTGCCGACCTTGTAGTTAGCAGCCCAACTATGCCACCAGGGTGCCTGGCAAGTTGCTAAACGTTATAAATAAATAAATAAAAATGGCTATGAAATGCAAAAGGGGGGTTTTGTTTCTATTGTCCAACTTCCTCTAAAAAATTGTGGAATTATTATTTTTTAAATGTGGCAAAAATAGACACACAACATTCTCCAACCCAACAACTTCTACATGTATAATTCGGTGCCACGACTATTACTGATATCCTTTTCTGGATAGCCCACTGGTTCCGACCCATAGCGACCCCGTGCACAGCAGAAGGACACGTGGCCCAGTCCTGCGGCGTCCTCTCCACGTTCCTGTGCCGAGCCCATGGTGGGAGCCAGTGTCCGTCCACCTCCTGGAGGGACTTCCTCTCCTTCACTGCCCTTCTCCTTGATCAAACACATGCCCTTCTCCGGGGACTGGTCTTGCTTGACCACATGTCCAAAGTATGTGAGAGGAAGTCTCCCTATCCTTGCCTCTAAGGAGCACTCTTGCCATACTTGAGGTTCTTAAAACTGTTTCTCTTTCCTAGAGCAGAAAGACTCATCTTTGTCCATTGGCTCTGTGGTCAGCAGCCCAAGGCTTAACCCACTGCCCTACCAGGGCTTCTCGCTGTCCTTCACAGGCCACGGTCATCACCAGCCCTCTCTGCTTATGTCATCCGATGCAGCTGTATGCGTACTCTATTTGACAACACAAATGACGCTGTTAACATACGATTCGGTGCTTTGAAAGTGACCTACAGAAAAGTGGGTGAAGGGAGACGTCAGACAGTGTAAGATATGACAAAATAATAATATATAAATTATCAAGGTTTCATGAAGGAAGGGGGAGCAGGGAGGGAGGGGAAAAATGAGGAGTTGATGCCAGGGGCTTAAGTGGAGAGGAAATGTTTTGAGAATGATGAGGGCAATGAATGTACAAATGTGCTTTACACAATTGATGTGTGTGTGGATTGTGATAAGAGTTGTATGAGCCCCTAATAAAATGATTTTTTTTAAAAAGGCAAACTGGGAGGAAGAGGGAAAAGTACTATTACATTGTAGGGATTGCAGTCAACATCACGATTCAAAATGTCTATAAGAATTGTTGAAAGGAAAACCAAGTTGCTCTGTAAACTTCCATCCACATCACAATAAAAAGTTTTGCAAAAAAAAAAAAAAGATATGACAAATACCAGGGGCTCAAGTAGAAAGAAAATGTTCTGAGAATGATGATGGCAACGTTATGTACAAATGTGCTTGACACGATGGATGGACTGCGATAAGAGCTGTAAGAGCCTCCAATAAACTGGTTAAAGAAAAAGACATTCACAGGGACAGGCACCCTGTCGGCCTTGACTGGACAGCAGGGCGTCTGGATTTCTGGTTTGGTGGATGAATGTTCGCGTGGCCTACTGGCCGGGCTCCCCACCCCTCATTGCAAACCAACGGGGTCTCTGTGCCTTCGCGCGCTCCGTCGTCTGTCCAGCGGGCCGTTTTAGAACTGCAGAAGCATTTGTGATTTGGGGAGGTGCTGCGTACTTTCCTTCCAAAGAAGCTGCGCCGAATTTGACAGCGAATGGAATGTGCATTTCGATCTTTACAGAACTGCACGCCCCTGGCCCCACCCCCCAATCAAGGTCATCCCACAGAAACCGGGTAAGCTTCCCTGGAGACGGGGCGGGCCCAACCACCGCAGGGTCAGAACTACGACCAAAGCCCGCCTCCGACCGGGTCTGAGCTAGATTGCTAAGGTGACCCCGCCCGCGGTGCCACCGCCCTGCCCCGCATGGGGGGTGGGGCTGGGGCTGGCACAGCCTGGGACTCCCCGGAGGAGGGAGGGTCCAGGTGATGCTGGTGGGAACTCCATCGGACACATTCTCCTTCCGTCGAGCCCAGCGTGGTCGCCCCTAACCCCGCACCGGGAGGTGCGTTTTCAAACGGCCCTCCTTCCCGCAAGCATCCCAGACGTCTAGAACCGCGGGTGCCGCGAGAAGCTGCCTTTCAGGCCTCGGCGGCCTCTTCTTCCGCAGCAGCGCCCGGAAAAGCGGCCGCGCGGGAGAGCCCGGGAGGCTGGAGCCGACCGCGACGCTCGGGCGCCACCTTGCGGCTGCTCGTCGGGCCGCCAGGGGCAGCCCGGAAACCACACTTCCCAGAGTACCTAGCGCCGGCGCGCAGGCGCACGCCACCTCCGCCCGTTTCCATGGGAACCTGGCCCCCCCGAGTCTGGAACGTTCAACTCGGAGGCGCGAAGTAGTTAGTTGCTTGAGGTGCGCTGGAGATGGAGTCTGCGAACGGACGAGGAGGGATAGAGGGGGCTGGCGGGCAGGAGGCCAGGCCGTCTGCCTCCGGGCCCTGCGCTCCCTTGGTTCTCGGCGGCCGGCGCCCGCGCGCTCCGGGGGCCTCAGGGTCCTGAGGCCGAGTGAGCGCGGTGGCATGGCGGGTGGCCCGCTCACGGCCGGCGCGGCTGACAGGTACTCCTGGGGCGTGGGCTGGGCGGGCTGGCTCGCGCCGCAGGTGGAGCCGCGGAAGCCCCGGGTTCCCTCTCGGCCCCAGGAATCGTCCGGCCCCTCTGGGCCCCGGGTGCCACCGCCGGACGCTGGCGCACCGGGCGCCGTGGGACCTGCGGGGACCAGAGCCTCTACCTCAGAGCCCACGT